TACTACTATTACTGCTGCTACTGCTACTGCTGCTGCTGCTGCTGCTGCTACTCCTGCTACTCCTGCTACTCCTGCTTTTACTAGTACTACTACTGCTAGTGCTGCTGCTACTATTACTACTACTACTACTACTACTACGACGACGACGACGACGACGACGACGACTACTACTGCTACTACAACTGCTGCTGCTTGTACTGCTGCTGTTGCATGCCGGTCAGAAGATTGACAAGAGCCGGAAGGAGCCTTTACGATAGCTACAAGGACCACATATAAGGGCAAGGGGTCCTTCCTGGTACCCACACCTTCAAGCAGCAGAGGTAGATGAAACCCTTTGCCTACACCCTGAACCCTTCAATTATTGAGCTCTTGAACTATCGGTTGGAAAAGAGCCCACAACAAAAACAACCCCAACCTCAACAGCCTAGCCTTACCAAGCCCTAAACCCTAAACCCTAAAGTCACTAAAGTCCCTCCTAAACCGTAAACACTAAAATTAAAACCCTAAACCCTACACCCTAAACCCTAACACCCTAAGCCTTAAACAACCCTAAAGCCCTAAAGCCCTGAAGCCCTAAGCCCTAAACCCGAACCCCCAAAGTCTGTCTGGTGCTTAGTAGGGAATGGGGGAATGGATCCCTATGATAGTCGCTTAAGGTCCCTTATGGTAGTCCCTATAACCCATTCCCCCATGCCCTACTAAACACCTAAACCCTAAACCCTAAACCCTAACCCCTTCCCCCATTCCCTACTAATACCAGACAGAAGTCTCAAGCACAGACTCCAAACCCTAACCCAGGACGCAGTGGCCAAGGACGACTTCGAGGGGGCCATCCAGATCCGCACGGAGATCAAGGTGAAGCATCAAGCGATGACTTGAAGGTCTTAGGGTGTAGGGTTTAGGCGTTTAGGGTTTAGGGTTTTAGGGGTTTTAGGGTGTAGGGTTTAGCACTCGGAAGAGCTTTGTGAAGAATAAATCATAAGTTTCAACTTAACTTCTAAAGAGCTCTTCAGACTCATGTGAAGTTCCCCCCCCCAAAAAAAAATCACACTCTTGGATTCGGAGGAGCTGAGCAACGCCCTGGAGCCCGACGCAGTGCAAGAGGCTCTCGCTAGTCTCTCGCTTCACTGCTGGAGTTCTGTAACACTTATATAGTAAATCCCAAAAAGTTGGAAAACGGATTAAGGACGAACAGTGCTGGGATTCCCCATACATTACTCTTAAGGAGTAAGGCTACTGGGTTTCCAACTTTTGAGCTTCTACTATAGTACGCCACCCTTAGACCATGAGAGATCGTTGACCCTTCCCTCGCCGCAGCTGTTTCAGCCATTGCTCAGAACAATCGGCAGCGGGTTAGGGGTTTAGATTTTCAGGGGGTTAGGGGGTTTTGGGGTTTAGTGTTTAGGGGTTTAGGTTTTAAGGCGTCTAGGGTATACTTTAACCCACCAAAACCTACTTTTTTATAGTGTCCCTATAAATTCCATAGTAGGGTTTATAATCGGGACCTACAAAAAAGTAGGGTTTGGTAGTTTAAGGTAGGGGTCTAGGGTTTAGGTCCAGAGCCTCCCCCCGCGGCCTGCGCCTTTGCGGAGGAGGCGCCTCCAGGCCAGGTTTCTGCTCAGAATCCGGTTTAGGGTTTAGGGTTTAGGGTCAGAAAGTGCTTGCTTTGTCGTTCCTACCCTTGAAGGGGTACCTTCTTAAGCCAGCTTGTGGCTCTCTGAAACGGGACTTTATACAGAGAGTCTATATCCCCAATGGTCGCCCTAAGCCTAGCTTCTAGTTTCCCAGAGGCTTCAAAACCCCTTAATTAAGGAATATACCTTAAAATATAATAGGATCCCTAATATGATTTAAGGTATATTCCTTAATTAAGGGGTTTTGGAGTCTCTGGGTTTTTCTTTAAGAGGCGATCTCGAGGCAATCGCTGGGGCTCGCCTGGCTGCGGACATGGAGGCCGGGTGGCTTCGCAGAAGCCCTTAGCCCTCAATCCGAAACCGGGTTTAGGGTTTAGGGTTTAGGGTTTAGGGTATCCAAAGCCATAACCCTAATCCCCTAAACCCTAAACCCAAAATCCTGAACCCTAAACCCTAAACCCTAAAGCCAAAACCCTAACCCTGAACCCTAAACCTACGTGGACTCCCAGGAGGATGAAGCGGACAAGGAGAAGGCTGGGAGAAGGTGCGAGGGCCAGACTTTAGGGTGTTGGGGTGCCTTTTCGGGTCCTGTTTACAATGATGCTGTACTATTCTGGGGACCTAGCAAGGAACCCCCAATTTTGGAGAACTACCCATATACCGTATATTGTATATGATATGGGTATAGGGAAATGTTGCACATTCCGCATCACATAAGATGTAGGATAGGTGGAGTATGGTTTATGGTATATGGTATATGACATGCGGTACGTGATGTGCGGTATATATGATGTGGAATGATATGATGGTATGTAATGATATGATATGATTTGGATTGTGACTTGATTTGATACGGTATGGCATGACATGTCACATAAACCTAAACCCTAAGCCCTAAACCCTAAACTCTAAGCCCTAAGCCCTAAACCCTAAGCCCTAAACCCTAAACCCTAAACCCTAAACCCTAAACCCTAAACCGAAGTAATCCCTAAGCCCTAAACCGTAAGCCCTAAGCCCTAAATCCTAAGCCCCTACCAAATCCCTAAGCCCCTGATGCGAAGGCAAAGCCTGCAAGAAGTGGTCAACACCCGCTTGCTAAACAGGCGCTGATGCGAAGAGAGTCGTCTGAAGCTTCGGGCTTAGGGTTTAGGGTTTAGGGTTTAGGGTTTAGGGTCTGGGGTTTCGGGTTTAGGGTTTAGGGTTCGGGTTTAGGTTGTCACAATTCGCAGATTCAGGGTTCAGGTTTCCGGGTTGAGGGTTTAGGGTTTAGCCTTGCGTTTAAATAGGGACAGCCAAGTCTTCTCAGTTCCACATGTTTGCAGGCTCTTGCTGCTCTTGTTCTTGGGCCTTGGTGCACCGGGCCACCCCAAAAACCCGAAACCCGAAACCCTAAACCCGAAACCCTAAACCGGGAGGGGGTGGCTCGAGCGATGCTCCTTGGCCGCAGCCGCACCATGATGACCGTGAGTGGTGGAGCTGGGATGGATGGTACAACCGTGGAGGAGCTACAACCTGGGAGCACCAAGGACGTCGCTGGGATGAGTGGGGGGACCGTGATGCAGATGGGACGTGGTGGCAAACTGGGCCTGCTGAAGGCCCTCGGTCTGGTTGGGAAGGAACGCCAATGCAACGTCGAGGTGCTGTCAGTTGGTACCAGTATCCATGGACGAGACCTCGGACAACGGATGATGACGCTCGACGGGATGCACATGCTGGACACATGGATGGCCAGCCTCGACAGGGACGTGATGGACATCGTGATGGGCGTGTTCGCTGGCCTGAACAGTCACGTGCACGGTCGCATGATAGGGCACGTGGTGTGAGGGATGTTGATCAGCGTAGCTTGTCGCGGTCGAGAGGGGCGACTCTGATACATGGTTCCAGCACGGCTGCATCTTCCTCCTCTTCGTCGCGACCGCCGCCAGTGCAACCTGTTGGCTTCTGGAGGGGTGGACAGTGGGTGAGTCGGCCGCGCACGGACTCGGAAGAGCGACTTCATCGTGGTGGACAAGGACCGGTCCGTACACAGCGGCGACAAAGGCGGATTGAACAATGGGATGATGGGACGTTTCGACCTGCGGTGTTCCGTCGCGAAGTTGATCGCTGGGGACCGAAGGCAGCCGCCGATCGTGCCCTGTTCGTCACTTGCTGCACCATCCTCGTTCTGACCCACCCCCGGCTCGATGGACGGCGCAACAGTGGGCGGATTGGGATCGCTGGGAAACAGGTGTTACAATGGTTGTGGACTGGAATGCGGCGGGTGCTCCGCGGCTTGAGGATGTCTACTTTGAGCCGGAGGATGAGGATGACTATGATGATGTTGGGTGGTTACAAATGGGATGGGATGGTGGTGACGACGCCTTCTCCGCTATGCAGTTGACGGGGGATGAGGAAGAGTTGCTGGATGGATTGCACATTCCCGATGCAGTCCGACGCACATGCTGCCAATGATGAAGGCCCTGAATATCGTTGGGGTCAGGTGGAATGGTTGGATGCATGGGAAACTGGGTGTATCCACATGGACCGGATCATGGACTGTCTTCGTCGACGAGTCAATGTTCGGGGTTTTCCCTACTACCCGGTTGTTCGTGAACCCCGTGAAGGAGCTCAGCGAGTGCGCTCTTTGCAGTGGAACCGCCAGTGGACGCAGGTTGCGGCGTCATTGATGGAAAGCTTGGTTGACAGTGCAATGGTACAGCATATGGACCGGGTGACTACAATGGTGGGTGTTCCTACAGGGCGGCCTAGTCCTTCCAGGTCGAGGTCGCGTTCTCGCTCTCCTATGTGCCCGAGTTCCGGATCCACGACTGTACGCAGAGCTCCACGTATCACGGGGCGTTCCTCTGCGGCAGAAACTACGGAGGAGTCCACTTCTAGTGATGTGGTGAGAGGGTCATCGTTGGGTGTTGGACAAGCTGATAGCGCCGCCTCCGAGGTTGCTGCCTCCAACCTTGGTGTGACTGGTGTGGCTGGGACGCACGCTGCTGCTTCTGCCGGGGTGTGCGAGACTGCGTCTGGGTCTGCGGAGGTAACGCCATCTGGGCCTAGTACGGAATCAGCCGATGGGGTGAAGCCTGCACATGAGGATGTCTCTCTTGTTCAACGCCTTCAGCCTGCGGAAGCTCAGGAGCTATCGAACTTGGGTGTGCGCCGTGACACTGTGACAGCGTTGGGTAGGTTCTTTGGCGGCCTTGCGAACGTGCGTGATGGAAGTACTCGTGGTGAGATTGAGCCTACGGATGTTGAGTGGTGCTTGCGGGTTGTTGACCTGGCCGTGCGGAGCTGTATCCAGGTGCAGGACCACATCAGCAGTCTCATTGTACGCCGTCTTCGGGGTGAACCGTGCATTCTGCCTGACTCCGATGGTCGTGGGGGTGTTTGTCAGATTGCGCACTCGTTGGTTGTGTCCCTGTCGCGGACGTACCTGGATAACTTGCACAACCATTTGGCTTCAGCGTGGCTTGATCCGGACAGTCTTCCTGAAGATCTTCGTCAAGTACCACCGATGGAGGTGTACCAGCAGGAGGAGAGTGAAGATGGGGACGTTGCCGTGGATGTGCCGGTGGATGTGGTGGGCTATGGTGGGGGCAATGGGAATGCTGGGATGGAGCCGGTAGTTGCCACTTCGTCTGATGACCCTACCGGCGGCCGTCGCGATGCACGTTCGCGCAGTCCTCGACGTGGAGGCCATGGTGCTGGCGAGGATGTGGTGACCGCTTCGGGTGAGGATGTGCCGACCGCTTCGGGTGTGGATGTGCCGGCCGCTGCTGCGGACGTGGAAACTGATGAGACAGGTCTTATGCAGCGTGTGCCGGTCCTCTCGGCACTGGAGGGTGAGACGCTGGTGGAGTTGGGGTGGACATATCCGTGCACCCGGGAGATTGGCCAGGTGTTGGAGATGCTACATGCGTTGCCACGTGCGGAGGGTGCGTGGATGGTTGGCGTCCTTCGGCATGTGGTTCGTGCACATCGGAGGATGTTGGATGGCTTGGAAGATGTGCTGGAACTTCGTCAAGTTGCCTGCCCGCTCCTTCCTTCACCTCCCTGTCGTGCTGCCTTGGTGTCGGGGTGTGGCCCACTTACACGGGAGGTACACATGTCGTGTATGCGTCAGATGTTTGACATTCTGGACAATGCTCGTGACTATGTGGAACTGCTGCCGGTGGAACTGCAGACTGCTCGGGGTGGCCAAGTCCAATCCGTGCCGCCAGTGGAGGTTGTGCCGCCGGCGTCTCCTGAACGCCCCCGTGGTGTCCTTGGTGATGGTCCTTCGCTTTCTGTTCGGGGTGGTCTACCTGTGCTTTCTGTACCTGCTGGCGTTCTCCCTGGTGGTCTTGCTGCTCTACCTGCGGGTCCTTCTGTATCTGGGGGTGAACCTACACAGTCGAGTGCTATGGTGGCTATGGTGGGTGTTGTCGGCGACCGTGCTGTACGTGCTGGGCATCTGGAGGAGGTTGTGCCGTCGATTTC